ACCAATTTGCTGCGAAATACAAGCGATCTGTGATGAACTGGGTAAAGAAGCTATCAGATACCACTGCAGTTACATCTATAAACATTCTATTTTTAGCTTGTGCAGTCGTCAGCAGTTGACTTCTTGCATTTGCTGTTGGTATGTATGGAATGGCTTTGCTCCGAATATTGCATTCCTGCCCGATTTGTGATCTCAATACATGACGAGGTTTCTTTTAATACTATTGTGTTGAACAGAAAACTAAAGCAAAGCAACATTGTATCTCATCAATATAGCAACACCCTCAGTTTGGGTGGAGTCTAAATCCGCTCAGAATGCCACCGACATCTCTTGCCGACTGTTCGTCTTGCAAAGGAAATGTTAATCGGAGAGCCCTTCTTAATGTACTTGTTCTCTAGTAAAGGGTTGTAGAAGTAAGAACGCCAAATTTTTAGCGCGTTCCTATCGAACCCATGCCGTTGTATTCGTACCTCCGATAGAGAAGTATTGAGAACTAATCCTTCCAGTTTCCCCACATCAAAAGGCAGTGTCCCAGAATGTTGTTTTCCAGTTTTTCGTATGTTCAGGGCCTTCTCGCCAAACCCATATCCGGGCTTTTCCGCGCATGAAAATGACGAACTCTTTTGAATGAGCCCTTTTCAGAACTTTCTAGGCCTGAATTCAGTGGAAGTACGCCGGAAGTCTTCCGCGCCCCGCCTCCCTCGTTTCGGACGCCCGCTTACACGCATTCTATACTGAATGCAGACCTAAAGCTTATGAAAAGGCTTATTTTCGCCTTCACGCGCGGAAAAGCCCAGATATGGGTTCCTCATGGCGAGGAGGCCCCGGAAATGTGAGAAACTGGAAAACAACTGCCGGGGCTCTGTCTTCAAGATGTCCACTAGCAATCTCGCTAATATTTCTTAATTCAGGTGCGTTATCTATGTCCGGAGGAAGATGCTCCAAGGCTTGCTTTGGCTCTCATGTTGAGCAACATGTATGTGCGCTCATTCATCTCGTCGAAGTTAGGCATCGAACAATTGCCGCAAGTAAGTTCGCTTTGCTCAACATGAATGCGAAAAGGTTTGGATCAGTTCTCTGAAGTAAAAATGTATCTCCAAACAGTGCTTTCGTTTGAAAGTACATTTTTTTGTACGCCTCTCCTTTTTTCATCCCAGCAAAT